ATATCATTATTGGATTATCACTATTCGAGTACCACTACTCGAATATCCTTATTCGAATATCACTATTAGAATATCATTACTTGAGTTTCACTACTCGAGTACCACTACTCGAATATCTTTATTCGAATATCACTATTAGAATATCATTACTTGAGTTTCACTACTCGAGTACCACTACTCGAATATCTTTATTCGAATATCACTATTAGAATATCATTACTTGGGTACCACTACTCGAATATCATTATTTCTTATATTCGTTTCAATTCAAATTCGCCCAAGTCTGAGAATATTGTTTAAACGACACGGTTGGTTACAAAGGTCATTGACCAAGTCAGACATTTGTCTTCAGAGATATTTTTCGATACTTTGGAAAGAAATTAAATTGTTCACTCTGGAACGTTGAAGTCGAAACGATTTCACGCGAAAGAATTTTCAGGAGAAAAGGAGAAAAAAAGGATTTATCCGTATCGGTCGTACTGAATACCGAAGATAATCGTAGCCTGTCGCGTGTGACCAGACGGAGAGAGAAGGAGGTCGAGGTCGTTTACTGTCTGAACAACGCTCTGGTAGCACATGAGTGCACGCAATTATGTCTGACTTAAGAGAGAATTAGCGAAATAATGAATTGCGGAAAAATAAGTTTAAGACGTTTCTGTCTGAAACTAGAGCTGTGATTAATGAAGACTTTGAAATTTGAAAAATTTAAATTTTTCTTCTGAAAACTTAACAAATTTTATAGAAGATGAATTCAAATATTTTGTTTTGTAATGTTTCAGTAAGGTTTATTCGAGACACACACATATTGAAAAGAAACGTCTTATTTGGTCATTTTTTTGAAGAATCATAGGTATTTAAAAAAAATTCCTTTTTTTTTTTATTTATAACTAATTTCGGTTGAGTAAAAGAATCTGAAAAAAATCACAAAAAGATTTTCGGTAGAGTACTATAACATATAAGAATTTCAGTTAAATAAAAAAAATGGTTGGATTCAAAAGTGATTAATTTGACATTGAGTGCCCCATATAGAATCAATTATACGAACTAGTATTTAAAACGTTTTGTTTTTCATTAAAAATATTATTTCATATTCATTCGTTCAATATTTTCCGCTAAAGATCATCCAACTCTGGTGACGAGAAAGTGTTAAAACCGCAAGTAAAGCGCTCACGAAGGACGCCAAGCATCTCGTTGCACTTCAAGGTCCACAAGTCTATATCTGTTCTCTTCGTTGAGCCTGTCTTATTTGATGTCTTCTTATTGCGAATACGCGTATTACCATTTCCACATGTTTCACAGATCAGATTTTCCAATATCTGATCAGTGTTCAGTCACCGCCCTCTTGACTAGAAGTAAACACAGAGATGAGAACATAAAGTTATTCCATTCTTTCCGTTCTGTGTCAGTCTTCTTTCCATTCCTTGATGAGTAATTCGCATCACAGGGGGGAAATGGGCCTAGATATACGTCAATAACGGTGGCTGACCATGACAATCACCGCAAAAGGTTCACTTTTGTACGACGCGACGCCTCGGGTTGACGGCCGCCAGGTAGCACATAAAGGTATCGAAGTTGGTTATCGTAGTGCACCTTTTTAAACGACTTCGAAAAACGAGGAGGTTACTCAATTCGACATGTATATATATATATATTTTTTTCAACATTCACGTCTTTTTCGCTTACATTTCGATTAGAATGATCCTTACGTATTGATACTCTTGTTGTAATGACTGGTTGCCAGTAATTTATGACATTTACTCTACGCAGATAAATTTGTACGAATGAAAATTTCTGTGTTGCAGAGTCCTTCAAGAAATTAGTCCAATGGGGGAGAGAGTTTGGTGATATGTATCTAGTTTGGGTAGGCATGCGTCCGTTTATCTTCCTCTACAAGGCAGAAGCGATACAGCCATTGTTAAACAGTAGCGTTCACATCGACAAAAGCTTAGAATACGAGTATTTACAACCTTGGCTAGGATCTGGCTTGGTGACTAGTGCTGGTAAGCCTGAGAAAAATCAATGATCTAAGTGTAACTTTCTTGTATCCTTGATTAACATGATTATTGTAGACAGTCAACTGTAAACGGAGTTTAAATTTACGATATCATGTATTCGCCAGATCTTCTACCTACCATTTTGACGACTATTTTGAAATGACGAGATAAAGAGAAGTCTGATTTCTAAAAAGAAAAATTTATATACTATTTCAGGTGAAAAATGGCACTTTCGTCGGAAATTACTGACACCGACGTTTCACAGCGGACTTTTGGAGACGTACTTCAAGACGACGATGAGAGAAGCCAAAATATTAGTATCTTGTCTTAGAAATGAATTAGGCAAACCTGCATTTGATATTGTTCCATACGCGAAACGAGCAACACTGGACATAATATGCGGTAAGTGAGTTTAATTGTAAGAGTACTAACCGTCTATGACATTAGGCAACCAGGAGAATTGGGTCGTTTTTGTATGACAGGAAAGAAACGTTTAAAACATTAGGAGAAAAACCATTTTATTCATTAAAATAGTTAGTCTCGGCGCGCATTTATTTAAACGCAGCGTTGGCGCCTTAGTACAGCGCGGATCCTAAAGCTGCGTCATAGTACAATGCGCATCCTAAAGCTGCGCTATGGTGCAATGCGCAGGCTGCGGTGTCATACAGCGCGCACAGAAGGAATTTAAACTCCGAGGCTTATAAGGAGAGATACCGAAATGTGACGGTGACTTTTTAATTAACTTTTCCACGGTGGTAGATAATAAAGAAATAAAGCTAATAGTACAGAATTTTGAGGATAGATAGTTTATAGTTTACAAGATATACAACGTTGAAACAAATACCACTGTTTATCTGAAGTAATATAGCCACTAATGTTAGAAGTTGTCTTGGATTCGATACTTGATCGAACAAATGTTACAGGTCCTTTTTTTACTTTTTCGAATTATTTAAAATGTACATACGTTAACTGTTACAACTGTTAAGGATCTTTTACTTCTCTTTTCCTTGGAATTTTTATTCTCCTATTTTTCTTTTTCCGCGAACGCTAGTGACATTTCGTGTAAAAAATAACGAATGAACGTAACCTATCGTAGTAAGTCGTCACATAAAATCAAGAATATATTATTTCGAGACAGTACACAAGTTTTAATAATTGGCTAACGAGTCCATAGAATTAAACGTGTCGTAATCCGTGGGTTTTTTTCAGTTTGAATCTTGAGTTAGTTTTGGGACTCAAATCGACCATAATAATAGTTCTGTTAGAGCTGGAGAACTTCGGTGGATACTGCTTCCTCCCAGCTACTCTGTTGCTTTTTAGTCTTCGATTGGTTTTACTTTGAAGAAATGATTCGTATTCGTGATCGTACATCTTTTTTGTATGCTTTACGTGACACCTACGACAAATCAATTTATTCTGTTTAAAAAATGCCTCGCATTCTCGTTTACCGTAATATGCGTTAACGTAGTTCCCTTATGCTCTTTAATCGAATTTGTATCATCATTTGCATTACCGTGATTTCCCTTTGGACAATTTTAACGACTTCCGCGAATTACGAACCGCGTAGTTGGGCTTCTTTCTTTTCGATACTTTTACTCTTCGTTTCTTCTTTGGCCTTGATAATTCAATTATGCGCTGCGTAGCTGTAATCAATATCAAACTGGATTAATATTCAGCCATTAACGGTCTTACTATCTTAGCTCGTTATTAATTCAGTAAATATTAAAAAATAGATCATAAAGTACCTATAATCTTAAAATTAAGACGTAAATTTAATATCTGCCTAAATTTTGTAAATCAATTTATTGTTACAGTTAATGAATACATATTGAATAATGCACAAAATCAATTATTAATCAATTATGCGTTCATATTCGCTACATCCATTGTCGATCTGTGTGCTACAGTTCAATCTGGTTGCAAGCAAAAAAAGAAAACTATACACTCAATCGGTACGTGCGAGGACGTATATTATACACAAAACTAGTCTCTATCGCTGTATGTAGAGGTGTTTCGGTAAATAATCTCCTTCTATTTCTTTTATTAAAGACAAAATTAAATTTTTTAAAATAAAAATTAAGAGAATATTTCTTTTTTATCTCAAATATACACAATGGTCACAAAGCTGTCAACCGAATACATTGTATTTTTTCCAGTGCTCGTTTGCGCACTCTGTCCACCCGACTAAAGTCACGTTAATAACATCATGGAACCACTTTTTCCTTCTTTAAATATTCAATGAAACATAATAAAAATCTGAAAACAATCAATGGTATAGTTGCTTTCAAACACTCTTTAAGTTTTCATTTTTTTTTTTTTTTCAATTTTTCTTTAAATAAACGAGTACTGTAAAACAAAAGGCGAACCGACTGCTGTGAGAGCACTAGGCGAAACATATCCAACAGGTTTGGAGGGTTGCTGATAGATCGTACGCGGTCTGGAGAGCTCGATGATACGTGGCGATGGTTCCATGATCTGCGATGAATTTAAGTATTGCCGAAAGGACTTTTCCTCGGTCACTCGAACACGTGGTTGAGCTAACCGATTTGTGCGTTCAGTTATTTCATACAAAAAGGCTGATGCTTTCACCTAAAGATAAATAAATTCACATACAAAGCATTTAGGATAATATTACAAAAATATTTCAAGCAGAGAGCTGATATACATATACGGAAATAATTAAGACAAATATTTGTAATTTTTGCGACTTGTTCCTATTGTTATAAGTAATAACTCTGGCGAATTTCAAATTATTTCGTCAATTTTTATCGGAGTTATAAAACTAACAGTAAGTTAAACTCAAATCGTACTTAAACTTGCATGTTTCGTGCCTTATTAATATCGTTTGCAAATGTTCAAATAAATTCATGCACCATCGTGCACACGTTAAAATGAAACCGTTCTCGTTTAACCTGAACATTCATTAGAATAATAATTTTACTCGTACGTGATTCGGTTCCAAGAAAACGTCACCATAACCGTGGACATTCATCGGTCTTCCTTTTCCTTTTGTCGCCCGTTTCGTATACTTCGTTTGCTTTCGAAGAACACGAGAATCCGAAATTAATTTGTCCTTGTCCGGATTTTCTTTCGATTCGACGAATTGCTGTTGGTTTTTAACCATTTTATCGACAACGTTTAACGGCCCGTCCGAATTCGAATGTCGAACACTCGAAAGCGTGTCCATTTATCACTTATATAATTTTATCACTTAAAGAATTTAATACGTTACGCGTATATTAATCTATTTTTTCTTTTTTTTTGTCATTTACAATTTCATTATTTCACGTGATCCTCGGTCATTGTGCACAGGAATTTTATCGAACACGAAAGATCGAAAGTTTTTCCATCGCCACCTTAGACAATGGTTGAATTTCATTTCAGACTATTTGTAATACTTTAACCTCTTGAGGGATATTGACATATGTATAATATTTAAAATTAAATAATGTATGATTATCGAATGTATGAATATTATCTAGAATTGAGTAATATATGATTATCAAATACCTAAATAATATCCAAAACTGAAATATACATGGTTTTACATTGTATAATTGTATTAAATTATATCGATTTTACATTATAAATATTTGAATAATATTTACAACAAAATAATATTCTTGATTTTACATTATGTATTTTTTGTTGGAATCGTGAACAAAATTCGTCTCATAGAGGGTTAAATAATTACACTGACATGTTCCTTACATTTTCGTGTTACAGATAGCACCATGGGATGCAACATTAAAGCGCAAACAAATTTCAGTAACGAATACGTGCAAGCTGTGAATACGTAAGTGGAACTCTGCTTAGAAACCGATTCGTATTTACTTGAACTTTACCGTTTAAATGTATAAATAGTAAAGTAAATCTTCTAATAACGTAAAATCCTTTTCGATAGGTTAGCTTCGATTTCGCAAAGGAGATTTTTTAACGTATGGATGGCTTTCGACCCGATCTTTAAATTAACAACATGGGGGAAGCAGCACGACCACGCTCTACGCATTGCTCACGAATTCGTTAATAAAGTAAATACTTTGGTCAAATATTTGAGACTTTAACGATACAGTTCCTTGTACTTAATACTAACTTAACGAAACAGCCTGTGTAATAATAATAATAATATATCATAAAACATATTCTTCTTGTCAGATAATCGCAGAAAGGAAAGCAAAATGGAATGCCAACAAAAATGAGAATTCAAACGAACGACCCGGTAAATATCAGGCTTTATTGGATCTGCTATTCGACTTGTCAGAAGGTGGCAAAATGCTCACCGATCACGACATTAGAGACGAGGTGAACACGTTTATGTTCGCGGGTCACGATACCACAGCGACCAGCGTCTCATGGATTTTGTATTCTTTGGGCCGATATCCTCAGTATCAGGTGCCTGCAAACTTTCATTCCGTGAATCTTTGATATATCAGGTGTAGAAATTAATTCTGTCCCTCTGTATTCAATTATTTATGACTCCGGTTTATGTATTGTGTTAACTTTATGAAATTTACATTTCTTATGTGAAATTTAGTTACTTTACTATGAACTTACATTACATTCATTACTTCACATCAATAAAAAAAAAGTACTAATATAATAGCATTAACTAAGTAGTATCAACTACTGATTTTATTTATTAATTTTTCACATTTCTTTATAATATCTTTTATAAATTCATATTGAGATCAATTTGTATTTAAATATTAGTTAATGAACTTGAATAAATATATTGCTTCCTAATTACTTTGAGCAATCTTTTTTTTTTTCTATTAAATGCAAAGAATAATATATTTTCGTCGATATCACGTACATTACAATGCTCTACATAGAAAAACATTAAATTAACTTTTTTTTTTTTTCATTTACTTTCCATTGCAGAACAAAATTCTTGAAGAGTACAATGAAGTAGCAGGAACAAAGGAATTGACGTTAGATATATTAAACAAACTAACCTGGCTGGAAGCGTGCATAAAAGAGTCTTGGAGATTGTATCCTGTGGTATCTCTAATTGCAAGACAAATTTATAATCCTATTACAATAAGTAAGTATTAATGAATGTAAAAACATGAACACGTAAATATCTGTCATTTAACAAAATGTTCTTTCATAAAAAGAAATGAACGAAATGTACACCGCAAACTATTCGTAATATTTTGGTAAGAAAATTTCTGAAGTGTCTTATTTACGTATACAGGATGTCCCAAAAGTCGGGGAGGAGCCGGAAATGGGGGGTAGCTGAGACGTTTCTGAACAACAATTTCCTTTGCAAAAATGTCGGATGGGGCTTCGTTAAGGAGATATTAAGCGAAAACCCTGACCAATCAGAGCGCGCGTAGACCGTTGGAGCGGCCGCGGTAGCGAAGGCTACGCGCTAGGCGGCCGCGCTTGTACGCGAACAAGTGACTCGACGTGCATCGAAGGACATTGACGCTGCCGCCTAGCGCGTAGCCTTCGCTACCGCGGCCGCTCCAACGGTCTACGCGCGCTCTGATTGGTCAGGGTTTTCGCTTAATATCTCCTTAACGAAGCCCCATCCGACATTTTTGCAAAGGAAATTGTTGTTCAGAATCGTCTCAGCTACCACCCATTTCCAGCTCCTCCCCGACTTTTGGGACACCCTGTATATTGGATAGAAGTATCAATGAAACAAAAAAAACATTCATCGGTTGTTCGAAAAAAATTATTAAAAATACAGCCCCCACTTACCGCGTGCGCACTGTGGTATGCGGCCTTAATCAATTTCCGTATAAAAAATCATTATTATTAAATATCGAATCTGTTTCTAGTGGGACACGATATTCCAGTAGGATCGACGGTCTTCGTCAACGCGTTTCTTCTTCATCGTGATCCACGATACTTTCCAGATCCAGAGATCTATCGACCAGAACGGTTCCTTCCTGACGGGCCAAAGTACCCCTCTTACGCTTTCGTCCCCTTCAGCGCAGGATCCCGGAATTGCATAGGATGGAAATACGCTACTATGATGGTAAAAGTTCTTGTTCTCAACGCGGTGAAAAATTTCCACGTGGAATCGCTGGATACCGAAGATCGGCTCCGCTTCAGCAGCGAATTAGTGCTGGCCAATGCTAATGGGCTTCAATTAAGGATTACTCCGAGGATGCAGGATATCTGTGGGTAGTTTCTCTGCAAATGTATCCAACCGATTCGATAGAACAGTCGAAGATATATTTTTTTTAAACGTGATTAAAAAATGATAGGGTTAATGACACAATTACCGGCTACGTAAGAATTTAATTTAATAAATAAATGTCATTTCTGTGAGATCAATCGAGAGGGGTTGCTGTGATATTATGAACACAGATGCGTAATAAAAAGAAACGTTGTTGTAGAATAAAATGCGGTGGCATGTCTTTATTGGTCGCTCGCTACGTATAGGAAGAGTAACACTGTATCATTGTGATATTTTATTAAACAGCTCTAGCTCGTAAAACGTGTAAATACGATATAGCACTATTATTGTTACTAATAAAACATTATACGAATAATAACTTTAGACAAATACAGAATACTTTATTTAAAAAATTCTTGATATCTTGTTGTTCTTGACCTACACTTAACTCGTTACAAGTAGTTCAATTGAACTACTTGCCAGAGATGGACAATTGCTATTTCATTTAATGAATAACGAACAAAATTAACGCGTAACAAATTATTTTGTTGAACAGTGAAATTATTATATTTATATGTACTTAATATGTATTCTTGACAATTATTTTACTGTATACTCTATAATATATTTTTTAATATATAAAATTTGGATTCTCGAAACATATTAATGTAACATTTCACTTCTTCATTTCACATGTAACACTTCTTTACAGAGATGGGCATTATTTAGATAAAAAAAATTACTTAAATAGAAAATCGAATAAAGATACATAACTTTATCTTTATTCGATGACTGCCGGATAAAAAAAATGTATTCGAGGTAAATGTACTCAAAGGATAAAAATAAATTATTTTTATCCGAAGGTTAAAGATACCTGCTTTATCTGCAGAAAATTTCAATCGTAAGACACTTTTCCGCATTTGTATCCGCTTTATCCTACGGCTAGAGCTGACTTTCACAAATCCATTGAAATGCCTCCTCGTTACGCCTCTGGCGTCCATCAACATATTTGATGATAAGAATATTTAAAAATGACAATGAAAACAAAATAAATTACTTACATTTCGTCATACTCAATTTTGTAAATATTCATTTCTGTTTTTCTTAATTCTAATAATTCTAGCGTGCATCAACGATCAAATTCTCATAGAATTTTTACCTGGTCTACAAAATAAAAATGTTACGAATAGAAACTAAGCAAACATAAACGTTAAAAACATAACGTTATGTAACATAAAACGTTACATTTGCTATCGTCGAATTTATTAGAGTTTAACTTTTGAATGTATCATGGATACGTAAAGAAGGATCCACGTAATGTAAGGCATAATTTAAACAAAAATAACGGAGTAATTGATGTTGATTAAATGAGACAAAGAATTGATTTAATAATCTAATATTCTTTATTATTACATCTTGACGATTTAAAAATTAAAACCTTCTTTCTCATTTGCCAATGATTTATATTAGATGTGAAACGATAACTATATCTCTGAATATATGAATTTAAAACGTTATCATTTAATCAACTACTTTTTTACGTACAGTAAAACTGTATTTCATTATAATGTAACAATGTAGGTCAAAACCAAAATATAAAAGGTTGTATACTATTACATATTTTTAATTTTAAAACGTATGTAACTGCTTATAAAATTTGCGGTGTCACGTACAATTACATAATATTTATCTACGGTTATCTCACGTAAGATAGTGAATATCTTACGTTAGACAGTAAAGTTCTATATTCTATAGAACGTAATAAAGAGAGAGAACTAATAATGTTTCGTTCACGTGTTAACAGTACAGTCCTTATTCTACTGTGTGCATGTAGTGAAGGAATTATATGAATGTGACGTTTACATGATACATCATATTACCATGTATTGTTGGTTTCGTAGAAATTATCATAGTACTCGTAGCAATTGACCGACGTGCTCCATATGATTTCAATTTAAAATACGTATCCGACTATCCAAAAAGTGTGCAGAGCCATTTGTCAATTTTAGGTTAACTTTTATGATATTCGGTAATTAATATAAAATGCGTGCAACTATTGCAATTTTGGGCGTCTTCCTCGGCTGTTGCAGCAACGTTGTTTTCCTGGAGCTTCTTGTCAAGTAAATACGTAATATTTATATTAAAGCTGTCACATAATCGTAAACACTAGTTCTATATATATTGTCATTCTCATATTCAAAGACAATACCATTTTTGTTTAGCTAAGCCATGAACCCAATACTCGGTGTAGTAACATTTGTTGTTGCTGATCAAATAATACGGTCTTGTTTTTTTCAGAGAAGATCCCGGTAGTGGGAACCTTATAACGTTTGCACAGTTTCTATTTATAGCAATAGAAGGTTTCTTATTTACCTCAAAATGTGGAACTGCGAAGCCCCATATAGGAATAAAGGACTACTTTGTATTGGTAACAATGTTCTTTGTTGCAAATGTTTGTAACAATTATGCATTTGATTTTAACATACCTATGCCATTGCATATGATATTCAGAGCTGTGAGTACCCAAAAATCGAATGCAGTAATATTTAAATCTTTGGATTGATCATAAAATCTGCATTTATATGTATACAATTATTTTAGGGTTCTTTGATAGCTAATATGATTATGGGTATCGTTATTTTAAAGAAACAATATGCATTTAGTAAGTTTTTATCTGTGTTTATGATTACCTTTGGTATCGCTATTTGTACAATTGTTAGTGGCAAGGAAATCAAATCTTTGCGAGCTAAGAATGCAGAACAAGTACCTACTACTCCGTGGGATGACTTCTTTTGGTGGATATTGGGTATTTCATTGTTAACAATTGCGTTATTCGTTTCTGCTAGAATGGGCATTTATCAAGAAGTATTGCACAAAAAGTATGGGAAAAATCCAAGAGAGGCACTATACTATACGGTATATTTTCACTTTTATCTGTATTATATTTCGAATTTTATTCATTTTACAGTAGTATATGTTGTTCGATATTTGTTTCAGCATCTATTGCCAATGCCATTTTTTCTTACGCTAGCTCCTAATATATGGGAACATTTTTCATATGCACTTGCATCAGAACCATTGCAACTGTCTCTGATCAATTTACATGTGCCAAAATTAATTGTATACCTTATAGGAAACATTCTCACACAGTATCCTTTTAGAAACCTAATACTAATAATTAATAATTAGATATCTAATATAAACAATTGTATTCACTACATATGGTTTATTCTTAACAATAATTTTAGATACGTCTGTATTAGTTCTGTCTATGCATTGACAGCAGAATGCACATCGCTCACGGTAACTTTAGTAATAACCTTACGAAAGTTCGTGTCTTTAATTTTTTCTATAGTATACTTTCAAAATCCGTTTACCGTGTACCATTGGGTTGGTACACTTCTAGTCTTTGTGGGAACAGTGATATTTACAGAAATATTACCAAAGATTTCAGATAGCTTGCAACCTAAAGAGAAGAAGAAAGTGCAATAACAAGCGGTATTATTAATAGTACAAACAAAATATTTCATGTTTAATTTAATTTAAATAAACAGTAAAACATCTTTTGAATAAATTTAATTTCTGTTACGAATGTAAGAGATAAACAATTAATTGTAATATAAGTAAACCTTCAAATTATATTTTATTAAAAAAAGTTACAAAATGTAATAAAAAGTTTGAATGTTTTAACAAGTACTATTGTTATACATACATTTATTCGTAAATATACACTATACAAATTCAATATGCAGTTGTAATGTGTTTTTATATTGAATGTTTGAATGCGACACCTAGCGGCGCGAGGTGGAAACTTCTCTTTATTTCTAGTTATTTAAAAAATAGGTATTACACAATTATTAGTATACAAATCAACATTTAGAAGTTGAATAATAATAAATATAATCTAAAATTACATTTGAATGCAGAGAAAAGTTGAGCATTCATGTTAAAAATTCATTTTAATTTCATGTCGGTAAACAGCAGTTAGTTGCGCCATATACCGCCAACATGCCCAAGTTTGTCGGGAAACAGTTTTTATCTTGCAATGCTAGATGGCGCCACTCAAAAATGTAAATACCGACATTGCAGTTGTCATAAAGTTGGCAGTTACTGGCATATTTATATCATTTAACATTGTATTAAACGTAAAGTGCAATAATTAAAATTTGTAGCCTTCTATTTATGATGTAAAATTAATTTTAATTTCATGCCGGTATCCAATTATTAGTGGCGCCATCTAACAGGGTAAAGCGTAAACTTGTAGGGAAAATAGTTCCTTCTTACAGTAGATGACGTCATTCAAAAATGATTCCTCTTAAAAAACTATATATATTACATAAAAATGATTGTTTAGTATATTAACTAATATATTGCAGTGTTATAAATTAATGAATCTTATTAATTATGCATTTATTAAGAAATAAATAATTATTGATAAAAATTTTGTTGTGGCGCCATCTTACAGAATTGGTGGGAACCATTTTTGTGACAAAGTTGGACGTTTTGCTGTTAGATGGCGCCACTAAGAGTTGATTACCGGCATGAAATTAAAATGAACTTTTAATCATTTTTGTATTATAAATAGACGGCTACAGATCTAAATTAATGCATATTATGTTTAACTTCACGTTAAACTACGTATATACGTAAATATTTGCAATATTTATGATTACTTGTTATGTAGGTTAGAAAAATTAGTTCGGAGCTTCCACCGCTAGATGGCGATACCGTCGAATAACACGTTTTTGGATGTTTTTGGATATATGTACAAAAACGAATTAGGGAATATAACGTACCTAATAATATTAGATATTAATTAAAATATCATAGAAAGGGGATATGAAGGATTTGTTAAGTGCATGGAATTGATAGGAAAAGAAAAAGGGAAGGAAATTCTTTGTTGGGATCATGGGTAACACGGAAGAAAATCAAATACAAGCCATGGTTTCATAAATTTATTGTAATCAAGGTTTAGAAACAATAAACTACGTATTGTTCGATTATGTTTGAACTATTATACTGTTTATACTATGAGTCAGAAGTATTCGACTACAAACTTGGGCGTTTTCTCGCCAATGTCGTTGATCGCAGGTTTAAAGGTCTATAGTTTAAAATTAGTTCATACTGTTTGATACGAAGTGTTATGTTGGATTTTTTGATATTGTTTAATGTGATTGGAGTGGAAGTTTTATTGGGGTGGACAGAGGAATTGTTTTTCTTAGTAGTAATGCTTGGTAATGCTTTTGTTAAGGTTGCTTCGGCTTCTGTGCAATTCCTTGATCTAGATAGATAGATGTAGGTTAGAATTTCTTTCAGTTACCATAATAGATTTTTATTGTTTTGGATTGAATGCAAGTATTTTTGCCTCTCGTTATTTTATATAATAATAAAATAAATAAAATAAGGAAGAAAATCGCACAGAATTATTTTCCCAGCGAAATGTTTTAAAATAAGCATTAATAAATGGTAAATAGAAGATTATAAGTACAATATCATAACTAGACTGCGGATCTTTATGCATTTATAAGAAATTTGAATGTGCAAAATGCACATAATATGCGAGAATATAAAAAAAAATGAAAGTGAAATTCATGTTATAATATTTCCGGAATAAAATAAATTCCTATTTAGGTTCAATTTCTATAGGCACGTTTGCGAAGATTTTATTTTGCGTAAAGATCCGCAGTCTAATCATAACAGATCACAGAGTTAAAATATACATTTGTTACTTCACCGAATTTTCCAGACACTATTTTATTTTCATTTGCGTTTTACCTATATATATGTAATATATGTAATATGTATGTGACTTATACAGGGTGTCCCAAAAGTCGGGGAGGAGCCGGAAATGGGGGGTAGCTGAGACGATTCTGAACAACAATTTCCTTTGCAAAAATGTCGGATGGGGCTTCGTTAAGGAGATATTAAGAGAAAACCCCGACCAATCAGAGCGCGCGTAGAACGTTGGAGCGGCCGCGGTAGCGAAGGCTACGCGCTAGGCGGCAGCGGTAGCGAAGGCTACGCGCTAGGCGGCAGCGTCAATGTCCTTCGATGCACGTCGAGTCACTTGTTCGCGTACAAGCGCGGCCGCCAGCGCGTAGCCTTCGCTACCGCGGCCGCTCCAACGGTCTACGCGCGCTCTGATTGGTCGAGGTTTTCGCTTAATATCTCCTTAACGAAGCCTCATCCGACATTTTTGCAAAGGAAATTGTTGTTCAGAATCGTCTCAGCTACCCCCCATTTCCGGCTCCTCCCCGACTTTTGGGACACCCTGTATTATATTTTACCTCGAAATCAATACAGTAAATATCCAAATAATCCCCACTTCATTTCACTTTTCATTTACGCATTTTCCCCAATAAAAAAAAAAAAAAAAAAAAAGAAAAAGAAAAAGAAAAGGAAATATATCCAAGATAACTTGCGTATTGTCGCATGCGAAGGTATCGTAACCCCTAATCCGATCGCAGACAGTATTTTCCCAACGAGAGGAGAAAAATACGCGCCGAGACGCGGATGGGAGCGAGGACTCGATTCATTCTTTCTTTCGAGCCGCGGTGTCTGAGGCTGGACGATTAGATAAGAACCATAGGTTCATAGTGCGTTCGAGATGCAGAGCGCATAAGAGACCAAGAGGCACGAGGACCGGCCTCAGTTAAAGCTGTGTGTGCATACCGGCGAATTCGTCTAGCGAATCGCGAGCAAGTCGAAGGAACGACTGCGAGCGTTCCGACGCGAGTGCCTCGTGCATACTTCGTTTCAAACATCGGCCAGTCGCTCATCCTCCAAGTGTCTGCACCAAGTTACTTCAAAGTTATCCACTTCCAAGTTATCCAGCCGCGAGTGCTTCGAGCATACTTTGCTCAGAAGTCGTCCTGGCTCTTGTACTTCGAGTGTCTCGATTATACTTCAGTTGAAACTCAACCGCGTGGTCGTTGGTTGAAAGTTTAAACGTTAGTATACTTCGGTTAGGAGTCATCCAGTCGCGAGTGCCTTGAGTATACTTCGCCGAGGAGCCAATTAGCCGCTTGTACTTCGAGTGTCTCGAGTATACTTCAGTTGAAAATCAACCAGTTGGTTATTATCTGCAAGTTTAAACGCATACTTTACTTACAAACCAACCAGCTGCTCGTCATCTGAACACCGTCACCTGCGTATACTTTACGTAGGAGCCAATCAGCCTCTTGAACTTCACTTGAGTCATCCAGTTGCGAGTGCCTTGAGTGGTCTCTGCTTAAAAGCCAACCAGCTGCTCGTCATTAACACGTATACTTAATAGTCAACCAACACCGAGTGCCTTGAGTATACTTCAGTTGGAAGTGAACCAGTTGGTGATTATCTAAAAGATTAAACGTATACTCTGCTTAAAAGCCAACCAGCTGCTCGTCATCTACACGTATACCTAGTAGTCAACCAACCCCGGGTGCTTTGAGTATACTTCAATTAGAATTGAACCAGTTGATCATCACTTCCTTTACTTATAAATCAACTATTCATCATCCGAACACCATCTACACGTATACCAAGGAGCGAACCGACGCTCAGGAGTCGTCTAGCCTCTCGTACTTGAAGTGTCTCGAGTAAACTTCGCTTGGATGTCAACCAGTTGATCGTCATCCGAAATCTAAAAAAGGAAAACTTCACTTAGGAGCGAACCAGCCTCTCTTGTGCCACCTTTGTCTCGAGTTGCGATAATCAGGCGACCCGTATCCATCGCCAGCCATGCCTGAGACCAAGCAATGAGTCCACGGCCGACGAGGGAATCGTGACTATTGGATTGCTCGTGACTCCCAAAGACTTCAGGGTCGTAATCTCGTCGAACCGGTGGGAATAGCGAATTAACCGCGACAATGCCAGCCTGCACCAGCGAGAACATCTCCAGGCGGTGGTCCTCGAGCCCTCCTATCTCTAGGAGCAGCAGCGTGTCGCCGTTGGGCCCTAGCACGCCTCTCTCGACGTCTCCGCCGCTTGTTTCGCCAATCTCGACTCTGAAACGCTCGATGTCCAACATCTCGAACGCTTCGAATCCTCTGGATGGTTCCCCGTCGTCGAACAGCTCGGACGCGCCAACGGTGATATTCTCGCCTCGTCGTCGTCATCGGCACCAACATCAAAGGTCGCCGACGAGCTGCCAAGCTCCGGGCCAGACGGGATCGACACAGGGACAGAATCACAATCGAAACGACTCGTTGCTGGTGAGGATACTGACCGCGTACATCGGGTTCCTGTTCGGGATCGTGCAGGGTGTCGTCAGCGTGATCAGTTACGCGATATGGGCGCCAGCTCTATGGGCTTCCGTCTGGGTGTACATGATCTGGGTGATATTCCAGCTACCCCTGACCGCCCTCAAGTGGTTCATCACCGTTCTCCACACCCCGGCCTCGGAGAGGGCTCGAAACAAACGGTGCGTGTTGATCAGCGGTGGTAGCACCGTGCAAGCGGTCCACCTGGCCAGGAACTTCTACAAGGCGGGCGCCAGGGTGGTGATCTGCGAGCTGGAGGGTCTGTTCGGGCTGGCCAAGTTCTCCACGGCGTGCTCCAAGTTCTACACGATACCGAAACCGGGCCCTGGGAACGTGATCGAGTACATCACGGCGTTGCGCGACATCGTCCAGAAGGAGAAGGCTGCCTACTACATTCCCGTAAGCGCGACCAACACGGCCTACTACGACGCGTTGGCGAAGACTTACCTAGAGGTAATGGGTTGTCAGTGTTTCGTGCCGGGTGCCAGTGAGGTGGCAGCTCTGGACGACACCATGGAGTTGCTGAGAAGATGTCGCGCTTTGGGTCTAGCTACCCCGAGTCACACAGTGCTCCGCTCGGCCCAGGACGTCGCGAGACTCTACGAGCAGAACGCGTTGAGCGGACCCGGCAGATACCTGATGCTGCCCGCTGGGCCAGCTGGGATGAGGGACAGGACCGAGGTGGTCCTGCCCCCCACCGCCAGGGAGTTCCTGAACCAGCAGCACGAGATCAGCGAGAGTAAGCCGTGGGCCGTGATACGGGATCCGAACGGTAAACATTACGTTACCTGCACCACGGTGAAGGAGTCGAGGATCGTGGCGAACGTCACCTGCCTCGTGGACGAGGAGCGAGGGTTGATTCCAGAGGAACGACCCGAAGTGGCCCGATGGCTGGAGAGGTTCTTCAGCCGCACCTTCGGCTCGAGGATCAACGGCCATCTTAGTTTTAGGCTGGCCGTTTCGGAGGGCGAGCTGGTGCCTATCGGGTGCCGCGTGGGCGTCAGCCTCCCTTACATATGCCACACGGGCATTCACCCTCGGCTGGTGTGGAAACCGTGCAGACACTTCTCCAGACAAAACTCCGGGATCCTGTCGACCACCGAAAGACACACGCTGCCGGACGTGATGGCCAATCTGGTGAAACGGCAGACAGAGACGGAGCCTCATCTCCTGGGCACGGTGCTCGATAAACGGGAGGCTCTGTTCACCTATTGGGACCCGTTGCCCTACTGCGCTTACTATCATCTTCAGCTACCCTTCAGGCGCCTGGCGGGCATGATCAGGGCCCAGCCTGCTCAGCACAATCCACCCTTGGCGGTAGTGCAATAATCAATTCTCGACTTCTCCTCGTTAACTCTGATTCGAAGTTACAAAGTCTGTGGACTATGGTTACGGTGGACGTACGAGAGGAGTTTTGGGACTTTATTTGATACAGTACGATTTATAGTACTCGAGTAAGGGCGTACTGGGTTTGGTACAGTGTTGGGCAAATTCGTAATCGCAAATACGAATACGATTGTAATCGAATGTTTACGAGTTGTGATTACGAATATTTCGCAATTATATAATTATATCGCAAATTTTTCTGTTACTACGACCGTATTTTCAAATGTTTGCAGTCACAGAAATGCTCTACCTCAAAACCGACATCAGATTCGTGTTCCTCGCATTAAAAAACTTAGAAAACCATGCTTTCGTCAAAATAAATTTTTTTAGCAAAGTTAACCCTATCTAGGCTCTGCTCTATGGGCACGAATTTTAATTGAAAATCTTTCATTTTTTATTTCGACGAATGTATGGTTTTCTAAGTTTTTTTTTGGGGGCGAGGAACACGAATCTGAAGTCGGTTTTGAGGTAAAGAATTTCCATGGCTGTAAACCTTTAAGAATACGGTCGTATTCGTAATCGCAACTCGGTAAGATGCGGTCACAATCGTAATCGTAATCACAACTCGAAGACATTCGATTAAAATCGTATTAGTATTTACGATTACGATTTTGCCCATCACTGATTTGATAAGGAAGGACTAAAGGTTGGAAGGACTAAAAAAATTACTACTAAAAGTTAACCCGTCGCGCTCGAATGCCGCTTCTAGGGCGACGTATGTAATTTAAGAGTGATTCATTGAAATAGTTTTCAGTTTTACAGAAATTCTGTCGAAAAATGTCTCGAGCGCAAAGGGTTAACTGCGCGAAGTCCTGTAGGTCATATGTGGTCGACGTGGGGGTTAACGTGTTAAAGAGCGAACGTTCGAGTCGTCTTCGTGGCAGTATTCGGAGACACGTTCGACCAGATGGAGAAAAACGTCCCGCGAGGACGTAGGAGGAGGAATCCGCGCGAGGGAGCGATTCAAAGGTCAAGTTCGTCTCCCTATCGACGAGAAACGCACATGTGTGGTGGGTACTTCTGAAATCGCTAAACCGCGTAGCAGGATTCAACGGCGAAACGGAAAATCGACACGCTCGAATCACGTGCAATCGAGACGTGGTACGCGTCTCTTTCGCGAGCCGCGATTAATTTTTAACGCGTGTTGTCTCTATCAGCGGCGAAACGCCGCGATGGCGAGGGAGAGGACGTCTCCTAACGTTTTATTATTGGCGGCGGAGATGTAGATTCGACAGGACTCGAACGACGGGGGAAATGCGACACGCGATTATTTATTTGCTCGATTTAAATTCAGCCATGAATTTATATTTATAGAGGTTTAGTAGAAAGTTTCAAGTATCGATTACCGAAGCAAAAGCGCTAGGAGTGTACGAGGTCTATCTAATCGTTGCGTAACGCATCTTCCTATAAACGTTAACGATAAATTATTTAAAATAGATGTTTCTAAAATAACTTTCCCTTGAAACTTTTAATCGAACGTTGCGCAAATTATACAACGTCGTTATCAACGTCGTTTATCGCTCGAACGAAATCTTGCTTGCTATTCGAGAGTAAAACTCGCGAGTAAAAGTGTCGTCGCTTGTAAATATTAGTTAGGCGCTTGTTCAATAATAAATACTATGCGCCGTGGTCGTTCAATTCGCGAGATTTCTTCCTGTATTTTGTTTCTCATTGTTTTCCCGTCGGATAAGTAACGAATAAACGCGCGCTTCCCCCGAAAACGTTTTAACATTGTATATTTTATATTTAATTTCGCTCGCAGCCAGTTTTCGTTCAGCATAAGTTTACGGTAAGTTTGTAAATAACGTGACTGTAGATTACGTAGGTTAAGCACATTCCACGGACGCCCAGAGAGGCGTCGGAGGTGTCGCTCTCCGGATTCTCGCGAATGCGTCCTCGCAGAATATCTGTATTTATAGTATTTCCATATCTTATAAGGAGTTGAACGATGTGGTTCGTGTAAATATGCGTAGCAGACGTCGCGAAGTTAGCGAGTCAATAAAACGTTTTTTAACTTAATTGTGTTCCTATTATTTGCTTCCTTTGGGACCAAATTTTCCTGTATTTCTTCAGCTTTCAGAGGGTAGTCTTCGTTTGCTTCGTTTTCAAGTCGAAGAATTGATCCTGGACGCACGTGTACCGTAAGTGGAGAAATTCCAAGCGAAAACACGATACGAGAAGAAGATGCGACCGATTGAACTACGATCACAGATTTCTTCCTGTATAGGGTTCAAAAAAAAAAATTTCTGCTTAAAGCATGTATCATGAACGTATCAAAACATTTATTTCTTGACAAGTCAGCCAATTTGTAATCGTTCCGTTTCCAACTGCCTTGGCTCGTCCAAAAATAGTCTACGCGCCGAGAATTTTTAACGCGTAGAGGTACCCGATGCAGAAACTTAAAATTTAAATACGCGATCATGCACACCTCGATACGTATACCATCTGATCAGATTTGACCCGGACCAGTTAAAAAAAAAAAAAAAACAACATTTTTATGTATTTTTAACCGACTTCGAAAAGGAGGAGGTTACTCAATTCGACATGTATATATATTGGGTCGTATGGAAAGTCCATGACGATTTTTAGTAGGCGGTACAGGTCCGAATATATCGGAATCATTGAAAACAAATAACGTGTGGATATCCTCTTAAAAGGTGGAAAAATTGTGGGATAAAATGGTACATATATAATTCAATAAATATACATATATCGAAATTCAAACGTGTCTTTGAATGTTTCTTCAAAATTGCCACGAATTTTCTGGACAACCCAATATATCGACTTGGAGTCCTTGAAAATCGAGTTCGCGAAATAGGATTTGTTGTAATTGGAGGGCTGGTGACAGGTGTGGAAGTGGCGTTGTTTGCGACTGGTGCTAACTGGACGACGTAAACCTAATCGGATTCGCTCGTTTGCAAAGTTGTAAATAATGTTCGTTATAGATGGAAGAGTGACCCCGGGGGGCAGTCGGAGCTTGACGGACTTTGAGAGGCTGGGGTCGGCAGTTCGTGAGATGTTGTCGGTATTATCGTGCATCTGCTTTCTTCCCTTCCTCTCGTCGCTTTTTCTCGCCTCTTCCATCACGCGGTGCCGTTATCGTCGCGGATTGATATACTCCTTCTCAATTTGGCCAGGAGCCGTTTCGCTAGAGCACTGGCGATAACCAACAAATCCATTAATATCAGGAATACTCCGAGAAAATACTCCGAGAAAATACTTCGTACATACGGAAAACAATGGAACCTGCACGATGTTTTCTATTCTTGCATAGAAACATCCATCGATTAAATGTATCGCGTTATTTTACGGAATTGAGCGTAAGCTTGATCGCGACGAACGTTTAGTGGTAAAATAAAGAAAGGCTGTAAATGTAACAGATTTTTGATGTTATTTAAAAATTGACACGAGATAACAGTCGACTAATTTCTCAGAATTTATACTCATAGAGTCGTGAATTTGTTACACGTAGCGTTAGTTTAACATTAGGCCAATCAATAGAGCATTTTTGTGTGACAGAAATAGTAACAGCAAGCCGATTGTGCGGTTACATAAAATGGGATGCGTAGATCAATAGGTATATGTTTTTCACTTCCAACTCTGTTCCGTTTTCTTGTTATTTACAATTTAATGCTAAAAAATCGAGATTTTTGTCGTTTTTAGCTTATAAATTTTAAAGTAATGCAGCAATATCGATGCTCCAATGAGATAAAATGTAGGCGATGAAAATATCTACAGAATGAGACCACGAACGTCTCGATCGGATAATGAGAAACGGAGAAAAATCTGGAAAACCGGAAAATTCGGCGTTTTTCCAGAAATTTGTATCTCCGCCATTGTTTAAACTGAAGCGCTTTTGGGAACAAGTAGCGATAGATATGTTCTTTATGTGTGCAAAATGCGGGGATTTTGAATTTTTCAGAGCGCCTATTAATCTACGCATCCCCTTTTATGTAATTGCACAATCGGTTTGCCGTTACTATTTTTGTCACAAAAACGCTGTTTTAATTCTCTATCGATTGGTCTATAGCGTTAGTTTAACATAGAGATGGGCAAAACCCTAGGTTTCGAATAAATCTGAAGTTTGCCGATGTGTTTTGCCCATATCTGGTTTAACACGTTTCTCGCCATAGGGCGGCGCAATGGTACACACCGTCTGATAGACGTGCGAGTGCGAACCACCGGTGGCACACGCCGCCCTACGGAACACATAACGACGTCGAACACGCCGACGCGAACGTATTACCATAAAAAAAGATTTTCCGTCGAATGGATTACGTTAAATTTCTTTCGGTTCGTCAAAGGACGAAATTGCGAGTCGCTTTTCGGCAGGAGAACGCGGAGATTCGGAGACGCGAAGGAATGAAGTGTGTAACGCAATCTTATCATGCGATAATATTGAAATGCAGTTCCTTGGCGACGGCCAGTGAAATAAATCAATACGCAGGCAGCTCTATTATTTTTTTTTTTTTTTGTTTTATTACATTCAGGGTAGGCACGCAACAGGAACCGTTCCTTCGCCAAGAATTATATAGATTTTGCTGGCATCCGCGGTATTCGGCGTGCTCGGTCGGTCAACTTACTCGAGACTCTATTTTTTTTTCGAGAGGATTTCGGGAAACGTTCGAAATACAGGCGTGAAAAAGTTACGTTAAAAATTTGACGCTTACGCAAAGTAAATGCCCTCTCTATCGTCTGAACTAACATGAACTCGGATATCTGCAAAAGTTTTCTTTTTACCTCCTCGCAGAAGCAACGAATTTTAGTTAAGAAATCGAACTTTCTCTTTATCGTTCCGTGGTCTCTTCGATTTTCGAGTATTTCTTGTTCCTTTTAATTGGGACGATAGCCACGTTCGCGCAAAGCGAGAACCTTTTCTTTTGGTTCTTTTTATTGACGATGACCCAAAGTTATCGTGGACACGCGTGTTTATGCACGTCAACGTTGTACTTCAGATTCATTTTTCTTAAACGATTTTAATCCTTTAGTATTAGAGTCTCGTCTAGACTCGAATAAAACATGTGTTTTAACGTTATTTTGTCACTTACACAGTATCATAAAGCGAATCAGTTCCACTTTGTCTCTAAGGTTCTTCCAATAATAAGTAAAAGATACGAAGCGGTATTGCAAGTAGCGTTACATACGATACCGCATCGAACGATTCGTCGAGTGCAGTCGTACCCACCGAGAAGTAAAGAGTTCACCACCAAATCTCCTGGAAATTTCGCAGAATCGATTTGGAGAGAAGTACTCTTACTGTTCCTGACCTCGTGTACAACCAAAAAAAAAAAAGAAAAAAGAAAAGAATAGAAAAGAGAAGAAAGAAACGATACCTCGTAACATCATGTTTACGTGACAAGCCGTATTCTTATTCTCTATTTTTAATTTCGATGTCGACCCTTGTTATCCGAGGACAAACGCGATAAGCAAGATAATTGCAATTTGCTCTTTTTCGTTCTTCGCAGCTCTCGACAATTATACACTTCGTTGACTGTTACAATATCTACTTTGCAAATTCGACACGCGCGACCGACCGATTTCTTGGAATTCGATAGATTAATTCTTGTTTACGGTTCACGGTTGCACTTTACATCGCGTGCCGAGCTGATCGAATGACACGAACGAAATATAAAATCGAAAGTTCGTTCTTGTGACTCGCGAAGGTTGAACGTGTTAAAGTGTAGGTAAAATGTACCTCCGAAGGCAGGAACAAGTTGGATAATTTATTTAATACACATTAACACGTTGATCGTCACGTCACCCATACATGGGTGACGGTGCTTTTCACTGAGAAACGAAAACTATTCATTCTGAAAGTTAAGTGTCGTAGAAAATGAATTTAAATTAAAATACTTGAATTTTGATGAAGTCACAAAACAAAGTACCGAAATAAATGTTTCATTACGCAGTTTCCAAAAATCTGTAAACGAAATTAAATCGCAGTAGAAATTTTCAAGGGTATCGGACTGCCAGTGAACGTGTTAACTTGAGCCACGTTCCTTTCCGTTTTCGAGCCGTTTCGAAGTCGAAGGCTATCGAAATCATTTCTCCGCGGTCGCATTATTGTCGAGAGCCACCGTAAAAGTTTAAAGGCCCTCGACTCGATTCGTCCGCGAGTAGCAAAGAGGAAAGTCATTTTCTTAGGCGCAGCGCGTGCCACGTGGTTCCAGGCACGGTTCTGTGAGAACAGCTTCACCTGACTGGCATACCGATGGTCTGCTCACCACCGTTTACACTTCACCGCCAATTTGCCAGCGGCGGGAACGTTTACGCATTCGACGCGATCCTAAGGAATGACGCTTCAATTAGGCGCGATCTGCTAGCGTTTCTTTCGAGCCATCCTTATCATGGATTTCTCGATTAAAAAAAGGAAAAGAAAAAAGAAAAGAGAAACTTTACATAATCTACATTATATAACACAGCATTACACGAGGATTGAGTAACTCGAGATAACCGTGGATCAAAGCGGTGTTTATCGATCTTTCTTTCTTCTATCCCGACCAACATTTTTTAAATAGGTCACTCCGAATACTCATCGTGCACGCTCGATCTATCCTTCCCACTTTATTTATTTATACAAACGCGAATTAAGAGTCGATTATCTCGTGCATGCGAATATCGACGTTAATATTCACTGCGGCTAGGAAGCGAGCAGTAGTCGTAGATGTGGCCAAAGCGATGAGGATTTAAATCACATCATTCGGCAATGTGAATTATATGAAGCTCCTAGGGTTGATCTGCTAAGATCCACGTATAAAATGGGTTTTCAGTTGCCCTTAAACATTGATATATTTATAGCCGAGCCGAACGTCAAAGCTTGTCTGCGAATCTTGTCCTTTTTTTTTACGACTGTTCTAACCATTTAAAAATACAATCTATTAATTGTACGTTATTTGTATCACCACTCTATTGTAAAAATTGTAAAGCGACATGGATCCTATAGGGTCTTAAAAGCTATAAATAAAAAAAAAAGAAAAAAAAAAACCGCGTTGCGCTAAGCTACCAAGCTCGCCTCCGTCTTCCTAAATCGTAGCGTTCGTTTCCAACGCTCGGGACTTGAGGCTACGAAGATACTTTGGCTATCTCCAGGCAACGGCAAAGTTGTCAAAGTTGTACGACCACGGCTTGTGGTCCAAGGTACGTTCGGCGCCATTAAAAAGAACGATTCGAAATAACAAAACCGAGGAACACGATGTACGATACCAAGCGGTTGTATCTAATCTCCAGCGACATGGAGAAGGCGTCCGACCGAGTGCAACGAGAGTAAATATTGTACTAGAAGGGGGAACTTTCGATGGTCTGCTATTAATACTGTCTGGTTGTTAGTGCTACACGCAGCATCGGCAGTGTTCGATAATAATAAACGGTGTTTTCCATCAGTGCGCCTCGTCTGTCGTAAATTCAGCGAAATCGACGTTCGGGGCGATACTTTTTATCTGGATCGAGCCATCCGCGACCGTTCCACCGACTTCGTGTTTCGGTACACCGTTGGGGAGAATCGGAACAGAGTTTTCCAATCGACGAAGCCTGCTGAAAGGAGGGAACAATGGTCCTGGTGGTGTTTCTCCTCGTGTTGGGGTTCCTCGTCTCGACCGGCCAGAACGACGTCGACCAATGCCAGCGGAGGACCGACGAGCAACTTATCTGGGAGTACGACGTTCGAAGATCGTACAGGATCGGCGGTTACCAAGTACGTGTGATTATAATTCAGGCGCGATAACGCGGCGATGATCCACGAGCCATCCGTTCCAGGTCTTCCTTTGCAAACAAACATGACTATCGGTATCCGAAATTACTTTCGTAATTTCTATCTACAGTGGGTTGTAGAATGTATTCGTACACCGATCAATTCCCAGAAAACTTTTGTGTGAAATTGTAGTTTCTTAACTTCTCTTTTTATAATCGATGATATTTTACGTACTCTCGGAAGTCTCTGAAATATCTTCGTAATACAATATCGTATGTACTCTGTTAAATATCTGAGCTATCGAGGTGTGCAACAGCACCGTGACATTCATATATATTGTTTACGTTTCCCAGTTTAACCACGTATGCATTGCGTTATGGGAAACGCATGGGTATTTGTTAATTCAGTTACGTCCATCGTTGACGTTTATCTATATTGCTTCGATTTTCTTCGCGTCTATCTTCGCTACTATCTCGTTCCACATGAGCTGGAAGTAGAATCACGTAAAGTTAAAGTTAAACAGAAGCTTCGTAGCCGTTTTTAACAGTTGTAATCGCTTGCAGGAAGTCGAGGCGGAGTACGGGCCAACGAACGCGACCATCACGTGCATAGGTGTCGATCCCGTGTCCGATGAAAACAACGGCGCCATGTGGGTCACTTCCGGTGGGATAGGCCACAACTTCATCAAGATCAAATTCAGGTCCAAGTACTCCAGAGGACTTCGTTACAGAGTCTACGTCTACGGGAAACCGCACTGAATTACACCCTGATTGTTTTTATTTATTTACACTACTACGTACACGATTCTGCTTCGATGTATGTACGCTAAATTGTGGATTAATAGACTTTTAGGAAAACTCTATTCTTTTTTTTTTTCTCGAGTGTCTTCCTGTTAACACGTTGATCGTCACGTCACCCGTGTATGTTTTCTACAATGTTTTTCACCGAATAACTAACAAAATTAATTCTGGTAGTTAAATTTCGAAGAAAGTGAATTTTAATGAGATATTTGAATTTTGATGAAGTTACATACACGAATACCACCATGAATGTTTGATTACGTAGTTTCTAATAGTCTATAAACAAAGTTTATAGTGAGTAAAGAAAATTACAGTCGAAATTTTCAAGAGTACCAGTCTGACAGACAACGTGTTAATAGCAGATTTGTATATTTGCCTCTTCTAACTGCAAATATATTAACAGGGATGGGATGCGTAAAACAATCTACTAGCATTACACTTCTTCATACACTTCTTAATAAATCTGCACAACACATGCCAATGGTACCAACTTCCTTGGTACTATGTTACAACGATGTCATCGACTTATGAAATAGAAATCCCTGTTTGTACTACTAAGACTTCCGTCGTGAAATAGTGAAATAGTAGGAAGTTAAGAGACTTCCGAGAATACGTAAAATATCATTGATTATAAAAAGAGAAGTTAAGAATAGTGAAATAGTTCGCGTATAATAGTTACAGGGTCTTTTATTCGCGGGGGTGGCTCGAAATGTCACGGTGACTAGTGGATGGCTGAGAAAGGGGCGCATTCTAAAATTGCTTCGGCGTTGAATGGGAACAATAGTATTACAATAGTATTCTTCACCCTTGAGCTCTTCTCAGCGACTTCCGACGTGTACTTTCCTACGTCGATTACGCGAAGAGGTTCAAGAAAAATGATTCGTTAAAAATTGAATGGTGATAATCGTGTTACGATAAAACTGTGACGATAGTTGTGGCCATTGATTGTAAATCCAGAAGATATGCCACCGATTCGGCTCGCAGAGCTGGAATATCGTGACCAGAACGATTGGGCTGGATAAAACTTTCCCGTGAAACTATACGGAGATCGAGAAACCATTAAACCCGAAGGTACCAGCCGCAGATTCCCTCCGACGACCAGCTCGGCGAATAACGAATCGGAGGAAATATTTTCCACTCTGCGTGCACGAAACAATATTATTCTGCCATGCGAACAGAGACTTCCGGGTTTCAGAGTGATTGCCAGGAATTTGTCAACTAACGCGTTCCGTAAATTCAGTCGTTGAATTAAGACTCGCGGGAAACGTTAAACGGGATGTATGTGAATAATAAGATTGAAATGTCTAGAAAGATCGATGATGGAGCCACATCTGTACGCTTCGAAACAAAAGACAACTGAAGACAACGCGGTACGACACCTCGCGAAGCCGCTCGAAAAGTGTCGAATACATCATTCATTCGTTTATTTAAAGTGCGTAACTTATTATTAAGTGCGCAACCCCGAGGTACCCGAGCTAGAGGGGGGTCAGCGGACCCCAATAGATGAGAAGTAAGAGATCCTGCAAACAGTATTAAAACAATGTCGAATACATCGATCATTCGACCGATCGAACCTCCCTTAAACCTAAAATTGTTACTGTTGGAGTTTAACTCGACACCATCAGAGCTTTCATCCTGATGAAATCCAATAGAATAATTAGTGCAAGTTCCGATGAATATCGCTCAAGATTATTCATGACATTTTAGAGCCTATACTTTCTTAGGTTCTAAGGCTGGCGCTATGGAGCTCCAAGTCTCTCGAATCCTAGAACCACCTAGAATCACTGAGTCTTATCCTCTTTTATTATTTCTTACTATTAGAGTTCAACGCAACACTACAGCAGGGCTTTGAACCTTATGGAATCGATAGAACTATTAGTGCAGGTTCCACGCATAGACTGTTGAAGCCTTGGAGCTTATATCTTCTTAGGTCCTAAAGCTAGTGCTCAAGCCTGTTCAGGCCAGAGATGGGCAAAACCCTAGGCTTCGAATAAATCTGAAGTTTGCCAATATGTTTGTCTCGTT